CATGCTTGTGTGGGTCTGTGCGGTATGTACACCTGTGCATAGGCATGTTTGCGTGGGTCTGTGCGGTATGTACACCTGTGCATAGGCATGCTTGTGTGGGTCTGTGCGGTATGTACACCTGTGCATAGGCATGTTTGTGTGGGTCTGTGTGGTATGTACACCTGTGCATAGGCATGCTTGCGTGGGTCTGTGCGTGTGTGTGCTCTTGTATGCGTGTGCACACAGGCGGCGGGGAGGTGGGTGAAGTACAGGAGAGAGTAACCACTCCATACTAAATAGCTCTATTCTTTTTTTTTTTTTTAAGAGTCGGGGAGAGAGAGACCGAGGTGAGGGTGGCAGAGGGAGAGGGAGGCAGAGAATGTTAAGCTAGTGTGGAGCCTGACGTGGGGCTCGATCTAATGACCCTCAGATCATGACTTGAGCTGAATTAAGAGTCAGGTGTTTAATGGACTGAGCGCCCCAGGTGCCCCTAGATCACACTACCCTCAGTGATGAGTATTGCTGACCCCATCTCCTAGCTCTGTATTCAGACTCAGAAAACAACCACAGATCCCAATCCTTCAACACCTAAGGGGACAGAATCAGAGGCCAGATCTGAAATTCATCTGGTCTAACTATTCACGCTTTTTCTACTCTATTATGAGGCATACTGATTAGTATAGTGCACATCTGAGTCTCTTTTTTTTCCCAAAAGGAAATTATCAACAGAGAAGAACCTAAATAAATACATACATATATATATGTATGTATAAATAAATACATATATATATGGATTTTTTACCAAAAAAAATGGGCAGTTAGTAATTTAAAAGCTCCCCACTTCTACTTTAATACTTTCTAAAAATATATTAAATGTTTAAAGCCTTCTACATTCCAAAAATATTTGAGGTATATAGAAAAAGACTTAGCTAAAATCTCATACACACACTATATATAGAGAGAAGTGTGTATATGTATGAGCTATACACACACACACACACACATATGTATATGGACATCTAAATATATATAATACATACTACACACACACAGTGGTCACTGCGAGCCAGCTTCCTCCTGTGGTAGTTGGATAATTTGGCCTCAGTGGCACAGCCAGAATTTCTGGGCCTTTGAGTAACACTCTCAGAAAAGAGATGACCCTCAAGCTCAGGTGAACCTGTGAGCCAGGACCCCGGAGCCACACTGATCCTGACGTCAGAGCACATGAGAGCTAGGAGGCCCTAGATGGCTTATCTAAGGTCACATAGAAAAGCCAGGCCTACACCTCATGGCTCCGGAATTCCAGTTCTGTCTACCTGCCATTATTGCCTTCTCCCTAGCATGTGGCCTTCATAGACTAGTAAGGGCAATATTTTGGGGGACCTAAAGAAGGAAGACCCTCAAAAACCTAGCTAGCAAGACATGACAAAGTCCCAGGCCACCGAGTCTAGAATCTGCTGACACAAAGGGTTGGGATAGAGCAGCACGGAGTCAGACTGACACATTTGTTCTACTCAGTAGGGGAGTCAACGGGAATTAGCCAGGATCTGGCGTCAGGAACATGGCTCTGGGTCTGACTTCAGTCAAAGCGGTTTAACCACTCTTAGCCTCAGTTTCCTCATCTGTAAAATGGTAATAGGTCCACCCACCTCAAATGGTTTCCTTGAGACTGAAATGAGGTGACATATATCTATAGGCACTCTTTCAACAGAAACATTAATGTGAGCCACATATGCACTTTTTCACTTATCAGACAAATATCCAAATTTATTGAATATAAGCTACCTATCTGACACTTTCACTAAGTTATAAAGTTAACTTTCTGTTCTTACCAATACCTTCTCCTCTCCATAATGCCAAGCACAGCACCTTCCCCACAGTAGTCATGCAGCAGATGAATTATATAAATAAAAGTATAACATACATTTTTACTATATTCCCAGAAACATTCCATTATTCATAGGCAATCAAGAGATGCTCATGAAGGCAAGAGTCCCCCCTCCCAAAGGTGACAGCAACCACCATTTATTCCTATGTCTCTGACACTTAGTCACATCTTGCCCTATGACAAAGCATCTATTATTATAGCTTTTATTATAAATGTTCAAATGACCCAGGAGCCATATTAAAAAAAAAGAAATATTTTTATCTTAACCCAAAGATCCAAAACAGTATCACATAATCCCTATATAAACACATAATCCCTATATAAAATTAAGGGGATATTTTGCATTTTTTTTTTTTTTTACCAAGTCTTGAGAATCCAGAATCCGAGTATCCATTTACCCCTACAGCACATCTCAAGGCTATGATGTGTGGCTGGTGGAAGCTGGAGGGGCAGCACAAAGGTACCCAGCACTGAGCAGAGTTGCAATTCTTAATTTAAGTGAAGAAAGGGCTCTCTCCCCACCCCACTCACAAATTAGGAGGAAGTCAAGTTTGAACTTACAGGCAGCACAAAGGCAAACTGATCATCCTTGCTCCAGAAGTGAACCAGGTAATATTGACCAAATGGAACCTTCTGAAGCTTGGAGCCCTGAGCTGGCACGGGCCGGGAGAGAATGCTCAACAGCACTTGGAACCCAGGCCACCTGCCTCACCAAAAGCAATGTTCCCATCTGCAGCACTTGTTACTGAGCAGACACTAGGCT